CACAAAATCTCATTTACGAAAAATTATGTTTGTATGCATGCTGAAGCATATTGGGAGATCTAGAAGGATGGCCACCAAAATGTTAATAATGCTTTTTTGAGGGGAGAGGTTTTTCTTTTTAAACTTCCTTCTATATTTGCTGTATTGTTTAATTTTTTTTACAACATATTACCTTCATGACAACAACAACAACAAAAAAAACAAATATTTTAATAGTTAGGATTTTTAAATGCTCCAAGTGACTATCAATACGGAAGAAATAATAGTGACATATTGCTCATAAAAGACAGAAAGCACATTGCAAAACAATCTAATTCCATTCTCGCAAAAAAAAATCATATATTTTATTATATGCAAAATCTGGACAGGCCAGGTGCAGTGGCTCACACCTGTAATCCCATCACTTTGGGAGGCCAAGGCGGAAGGATCATTTGAGCCCAGGAGATCGAGACCACCCTGGGCAACACAGCAAGACCCCTATCTCTACAAAAAATACAAAAAATTAGCTGGACTTGGTGGCACATGCCTGTAGTCTCAGCTACTCAGGAGGCTGAGGTGGGAGGATCGCTTGAGCTCAGGAGGTCGAGGCTTCAGTGAGCTATGATTGTGCCACTAAACTCCAGCCTGGGTGACAGATGAAAACCCTGTCTCAAAAACAAAAAACAGAAACAAAACAAGAAAACAATGAAGTGGGGAAGGTTTTTCTAGCTATGACTCAAAATCCAGAAGCCAAAAGAGAAAATACAGATACATTTTATTACATAGAAATTATTTAAGGCCAGGCGTGGTGGCTCACGTCTGTAATCCCAGCACTCTGGGAGGTTGAAGTGGGTGGATCACGAGGTCAGGAGATCGAGACCCTCCTGGTTAACATGGTGAAACCCTGTCTCTACTAAAAACACAAAAAATTAGCTGGGCATGGTGGCGGGTGCCTGTAGTCCCAGCTACTTGGGAGGCTGAGGCAGGAGAAAGGTGTGAACCCGGGAGGCAGAGCTTGCAGTGAGCTGATATCGTACCATTGCACTCCAGCCTGGGCAACTGAGCAAGACTCCATCTTAGAAAAAAACAAACAAAAAAAATTGTTTAAAAAGACACTTCTACCTGGCCAAAAGAAGGCCATATGTAATGTTAAAAGACAAATAACAAATTAGGAAAACTATTTGCATATAATACTTTTATCTATGTATAACAGACAAGAGCTGATTTTCCTATTACGTAAAATGCTTCTAGAAATTGATAAGGAAAAGTCGAACCCAATATAAAAATGGGCAAATGGTGGGGCGTGGTAGCTTATACCTGTAATCTCAGCGCTTTGGTAGGCCAAAGCGGGAGGAAGATTTGAGCTCAGGAATTCGAGACCAGCCTGAGTGACATAGCAAGATCTTGACTCTACTAAAAATCAAAAACATTAGCTGAGTGTGGTGCCATGCACCTGGTAGTTTCAGTTGCTTGACAGGCTGAGGTGAGAGGATCACGTGAGACCAGGAGTTTGAGGCTTCAGTAAGCTATCATGGTGTCACTGCACTCCAGCTTGTGTGACAGAGTGAGACCCTGTATCAGAAATAAATAAATAGAGCCGTGCGTGGTGGCTTATGCCTGTAATCCCAGCACTTTGGGAGGCCGAGGCAGGAGGACCACCTGAGGTCAGGAGTTCAAAACCAGCCTGGCCAACATAGTGAAACCCTGTCTCTACTAAAAATACAAAAATTAGCCAGGCGCAGTGGAGCACACCTCCTGTAATCCCAGCTACTCAGGAGGCTGAGTCAGGAGAATGGCTTGAACCCATGAGGCAGAGGTTGAGGTGAGCAGAGATCATACCACTGCACTCCAGTCTGGGTGACAGAGCAAGACTCCGTCTCAAAAAATAAAAATAAATAAATGGTGAACTCACACATGTGAGAAATAATATAAGCATAGCGACATTGTTTGTAAGAGCAAATAAATAGAACCAGCACAAATGTCTATGAATAGGGGACTAGTTAAATAAACTGTAGCTTATCCCTACAACATTAGAATATGCAGATGACAAAGTGGAAGCTCTCCTCTTATTGACATGGAAAGCTCTCCAAGATGTATTTTCAAGTGAAAAAGCAAAATGCAGAATAGTATGTAGAGTATACAACTTTTTGTATCAACTGGGGCACTTTTGTATCAACTGGCACATCCACGCCCAGCTAATGTTTTTATTTTTGTAGAGACGTGGTTTCAGCATGTTGCCCAGGCTGGTCTCAAACACCTGGGCTCAAGCAATCCTCCCGCCTCAACCTCCCAAAGGGCTGGGATCACAGGAGGAAGCCACCAAGCCCGGTCTCTACTCCAATGTCATGAAGGAATCTGCCCGTTTCTTCCAGTCCTTTTATAGATTCATTTTTCAAATTGAAATCTCCAGTCCATTTGCATTGATAATGGGGTACAGTGGGAAATATAAATCCAATTTCATTTTTTCTCCAGGTGGTCACCCATTTTTCTTAACATAATTTTTTAATATATATGTTTATTTTAAATATGAAATAGAGACTCTGGAGTCACAGAAGGCTGGGTTCTTATTTATTTGGCTATTTGGTTATTTATTTGGCTGTGTTATTTACTTACCCTCTCAGAACCTCAGAGAAAAGACAAAGGACAAGATTTGGGGGAGCCGGGTGCGGTGGCTCATGCCTTAATCCCAGCACTTTGGGAGGCTGAAGCAGGAGGATCACTTGAGCCCAGGAGTTTGAGACCAGCCAGAGCAACATAAGGAGACCCCATCTCTACAAAATTAAACATTAAAAATCCTAACCCAGCAAGGTGGCATGAGCCTGTGGTCCCAGCTACTCAGGAGGCTGAGATGGGAGGGTTACTTGGGCCTGGGAGCCGTGATTGTGACACTGCACTCCAGCACTCCAGCCTGGGTGACAGAGTGAGACTCTGTCTTAAAAAAAAAAAAAAAAAAAAAAAAAAGATTTGGGGAGGCAAAAGAAGCTACTGAGCTACTGAAAGAAATCATTTAGGAGAGATAACTGAGGCTCAGTAGTGGAGGACCTGATAGCACAGAAAGGATCCTGGGCCAACTTGTCTGCCCCTTCACTATACTGTTGGTGAAACTGAGGTCCAGTCAGATAGATGGATTTGACCTGCAGGGTGTGGACCCTAAGACCAGGCTCTTACCCACACTGGTTCCAGGCAGGCACTGAGGGAAGACAAGCCTGACCCTACTACACAACTGAAGAAATTGAGGCCAAAGCAGAAGTGATACCTCCCCCAGGCACTCCAGATAGAAGCTGTGGTTTCCACCCCCTTTCCCAGGAGCAAACCACCGTCTTCACTTCTGCTTGCAACCTCCAAATTCCCCTCCACATCCCCTCACCATCATCTCACACGCTGAGTCATTTCATTTTCCACCCTGCAATTCATTATTTGGGGCCTTCTAGGAAATAGCAATCCCTTCCTTACCTGACTTCCAGAATGGTTACAGTTGATGGTGGGGAAACTGAACACTGCACAGAGGAGTCTGCTTGAGTTCTACAGCAGGCCAGTGGGCAAGCTGGGACTCAAACCCAGGCCTCCAGGGTCCAGGGCGCTACCCCCTGCACACTGCAGCCTCCCAAAGATGGTTGGGCAGCTGAGTTGCTGTGTAGACAAGTAACACTCTATTTAGGCCAATAGATAAATGACGAGCTGTGGAGCACAGGACAGAGCCTTTGGAAGATTAGAATCTGATAACCAGTGCCAGTATTCAGTGCCTAGGCTGTGTGACACCGGACAAGGCACTTGACCTCTCTGTGTCTCAGGTTTTCTCATCTGTAAAATGAGGCCAAGGAAACCTATTTCCCAGAAAGAGAAACTCCAACAACAACTTCCCTGATCCTCTACTGGAATCAGGCTCTGAGCCAGGTCCAGGGCTCTGGCCAAAGTCCTTGGTCAGGAATACATCTGAGCACAAGGCCTGGGAACCCCTGCCTTCCTCCCTGCAGCTGACCACGCACCCCAGAAGCCCACCTCTCCCCAGCAGCATGAGGGCCTACTGAGCCAGCCATTCTCCACACACAGCCCCACCTGCCCCTGCCAACCACAGTCTGGAGCCCCTGCCTCTGGCCTGGGTGAGGAATCAACCAACCTGTGGTCTCTGCAAAAAAAAAGCCCTAAGAGGCCAGGTGTAGTGGCTCACACCTGTACTCCCAGCACTTTGGGAGGCCAAAGCAGATGGATCACCTGAGATCAGGAGTTTGAGACCACCCTGACCAACATGGTGAAACCCCCGCCTCTACTAAAATTACAAAAATTAGCCAGGCGTTGCGGCTGGCGCCTGTAATCCCAGCTACTCAGGAGGCTAAGGCAGGAGAATCGCTTGAACCTGGGAGGTGAAGGTTGCAGTGAGCTGAGATCACGCCATTGCACTTCAGTCTGGGCAACAGAACAAGATTCTAAAAAAAAAAAAAAAGCCCTAAGAGATGCTATTAGTGACCCCATTTCACAGGCTGGGAAAGAGAGGCCCCCCCCAGAGCCCAAAAGGAAGTCTGTGACCAAGCCAGCAGCAGGGCCATTTCCCCGAGACATGCTGTCCCCAGGATCCAATCTAGGTCGCTCTGAAAGGAGCTGCACCTGCTCCAGTCTGCCAAGCACAAAGTATGTGCCAGGCCCTCTACTGAGCCCCTGACAGCCATCCACAGTGCAGGTTCCCAGACTCACCCCATTTTACAGATGAGAAACTGAGGTCCAGAAAAGAAACCACCCTTCACTTGTCCCAGACCTCGTGGGGAAGCTAAGATTCGGGCCCCATGCCTAACCACTTCTTAATTTAAATCGCCCCTCCTTCCAAAAGCATAGTTCTCTACATTCCCCCAGATGTGGAGCTGCCAACCAGAAAGGGAAGGAGGGTGGGTCCCCAGCTTGCTCACCCAGGATGTCCCCAGGCCTGTGCCCACCTAGGTGTGGGTATGCCCAGTACCCACTGAGGGGCCTGTGGATAAGGACAGAGAACCGGGCAGGGGAGAGTGGGGAGAGGCCCAGAGGAGGCTGACCTGTGAAGCTGCCGCTGCCGTCTCAGCTACTGTCTCAGCTGCTGTCTCCGCTGCTGTCTTGTTGCTTCTGCAGAAAGAAGGGGAAGTTGGGAGGCGTCTGTGGGTGGCCTCTCCCTTCGCCCCACACCTGCACCCCCACTGCACTTCTCTCTGCTCCCTCCACCCCAGGCCCAGGCATCACACTCTCACTTCACTTCTCCTTTCATTAACAGCATCCTCTTTGCTTCCTCCAAGCCGGTGGTCATGCCCTGGTCACCCTTTGATGGTATCACCCTGTAGAGCCTGCAGCACTTCCTGGGGTGGCGGCTCCTCTGTGGAGGTGCTCGAGGACATGGCAAAATGGCCTTACGCAGTGCTCAAGACCCACCTGAGCTCCGCATCCTTGGGCAAGAGATGTCGCCCCTCTGGGGCTCAGTTTTCCCACCTATACAAAAGGGAAAATGATCCCTGCCTGATCTGACAATCGATGGCATATCGGTGATGGCAAGGACCTCAGGCAGGAGCTGGGTCAGACTGCCTGGGTTCAAGTACCAAGCCCACCACTTGCTGGGTGGGTGACTTGGGGCAAGCCACTCACGCTCTCTGAACCTGTTTCCCCTCTGTAAAACGGAGATAATGACAGTAGCACCTTGCAGGGCAGTGTGGGGCTTACAAAAGGTAAGGCTGGCAAAGTCACTGGAAGCACTCTAGGAAGCCATCATATTTCACAGATGAAGGATCTGAAGCCCAGAAAGGACCAGGGCCTGGCCCAAAGTTGCCAAGTGGCAGAGCCTGGTGGAGAGGGGTCTCCCTGGCCACAGAGCCCAGAAAACGTGGGGCTGGAAAGCTGGCCAGCTTCTCCCTGAGCCAGGGGTCTGGATAGGCCCGAACTGCATCAGCCATACCCTCTGAAGAGCTCTAAGGGAAAGCCAAGAGGTGTGTGGGGGTAGAGAGAGTGAGTGTGTGTGCTGGTAATGGGGAGATGGTGCTCTCTCCTGCCTGGGCCCCATCCAGACTCCTGGGAAAACTGTGACTCAGGAATGTGCTCTTCCAGCCCTGGGGGAAAGATGGAGAGGCAGGAAAGGCAGAAACCAGACAGGTCCTAACACGGTCTCCCTCCTCTCTGCCTCACTGGGACCCTTCCCGCATCAGCCCAAGCACACCTCACAGGTAGTACAAGTGCCTCTGCAGAAGCAGGAGGGAGCTGCTCCTTGGAGGGCAGGCAGGTCCCCACCCCAGCTGCACGGTGAAGGCTTTGCAGGGACACCAGTGCACCTGTGTTCTGACTCCTGGGCTACACTCCCTCTGGGTGACTTGGGCAAGCCTTGGCCCTTCTTAGCACTTCTGTTTTCTTTGATCATGATCCAGACCTTGACCTCCAGGCCCTTCCTTTCTGAGGTCACCCAGCTACCGCTAGGATTGCCATGCCAACCTCCTCCTTCCTCATGCTGAATGTGAGCCCAATTGGCTGTTCTCAGGGCTCAGGAGGAGGTCCTGCCTACCCCACAGCCCCTCTATTTTCCAGCCTGGGTCTGTACCAGCCTCACTGTGCTGTGCTTCAGTTGGGGACTAAGTTAGTGCCTGTTACTTAGCCCTGCACTCCTGGTCCTGAAACTCACTACCAAGATACTCTCCTGCTCAAAAGCCAGTGGTGAGGCTAGGTGCGGTGACTCAGGCCTGTAATCCCAGCACTTTGGGAGGCAGAGGCAGGTGGATCACTTAAGGCTAGGAGTTTGAGACCAGCCTGGGCAACATGGCGAAACCCCGTCTCTACTAAAAATACAAAAATTAGCCGGGCGTGGTGGCACACACTTGTAATCCTAGGTACTCGGGAGACTGAGGCACAAGAATCGCTTAAACCCAGGAGGTGGAGGTGGCAGTGAGCTGAGATCACACCACTGCATTCCAGCTTGGGCAACAGAGGGATACTCCGCCTCAAAAACAAAACCAACCAACCAACCAACCAACCAACCAACCAACCAACCAGTGGTGGCTTCCTTCACAGTCTAACCCCATCCAACTTCCACCGCCACCCAGTCTGAGTGTGCTTGCCATATTAATACCCACCTCCCTGCTCGGTCCCAGCTGTGGTCCCACACATGTACCTGGGAAGCCCTCCAGCTCCTCTCCACCCATCAGGGCTCCACTGGATCCTGCCTCCTCCAGGAAGGCTTCTCTGCCTCCCACTCCTCTGCAAAACACTCTGGATGCTTGAGTGGTAGGAAGCCTGCCAGTCTTCTCTCAGGTCCCCAGGCAGGGAGGAGGTCACATACCATCCCAGTAAAGTGTCTCCTCATATGGGGGCTACTAATCCTGCTGAGCTGCAAGAAGACTGTAGGTGGGACCCCAACAGGACTTTAGATAAACTGAGTTACACTGCAAAAAATGTCATTTACACGTCTTTCTCAATCTTGGTTGTGTCCAGCAGAAGCCTCAGCTTAGGGCTAAACTGTTTCTTTTGTTTTTTGTTTGTTTGTGTGTTTGTTTGAGACAGAGTCTCACTCTATCAACAGGCTGGAGTGCAGTGGTTCAATCTCGGCTCTCTGCAACCTCTGCTCCCGGGTTCAAGCAATTCTCCTGCCTCAGCCTCCCAAGTAGCTGGGACTGCAGACGCACGCCCCCACACCCAGCTAATTTTTGTATTTTTAGTAGAGACGGGGTTTCACCATGTTGGCCAGGATGGTCTCGATCTCTTGACAAGTCAAGTGATCTGCTCACCTTTGTCTCCCAAAGTGCTGGGATTATAGGCGTGAGCCACCGGGCTCAGCCGAGGGCTAAACTGTTTTAACCCCTCTCTCACAAGGACTAGGTCCCTTATTTTTCCCTATTTTTCAATCTTTTATTAGACATCAAAACAGGATGTCTGACTTCTAAATGCTTTATTGTGGTACGAAATATATATATATACACACACACATACATATATGTAACAAAAGTTACCATTTTAAGCATTTTTAAGTGTAGATTCAGGCCAGGTGGGGTGGCTCACGCCTATAATCCCAACACTTTGGACAAAGCCCTAGTGGTAGGACTACTTGAGCCCAGGAGTTCAAGACCAGCCTGGGAAACATAGCAGACTCTGACTCTACAAAAAAAGAAAAAAAAATTAGTTGGTCATGGTAACATGCCCCTGTAGATCCACCTACTCAGGAGGCTAAGGTGGGAGGATCGCTTGAGCCCAGGAAGTCGAGGCTGCAGAGAGTTGTGTTCGAACCACTGCACTCTAGCCTGGCGATACAGTGAGACTCTGTCTCAAACAAACAAACACCCTGTCTCAAAAAAAAAAAAAAAAAAAAAAGCGTACAGAGCAATGGTATTATGTACCTTCACACTGTCATGCAAACATCACCACATCCCATGTCCAAAACATTTTTCATATTCTCAAACTGAAACTCCATACCCATGAAACAGAACTTCCTGTTTTCTACTCCCCCAAGCCCTTGCAGCCACGGTTCTATTTTCTGTCTCTTGAGTTTGACCAATCTAAGTACCTCATCTTAGTAGAATCACACAGTCTTTGCCCTTGCGTGACTGGCTCATTTCACTTAGCATGTCTTCAAGGTTCCTCCGTGTTGTAGTGTGTCAGACTCTCTTTCCTTTTAAAGGTTGAATCACATTCCACTATGTGTATAATACACATTACATTTTGTTCATTCATCTGTTGATGGACACTTGAGTTACTTCCACCTTTCAGCTATTGTGATTAATGCTGCAATGAACATGGGTGTAGAAATGATGCCCCTTCTTAACAAAGAGAACGTTTCTAGCTAGACTTTACTAATGTTGTTTTATTTGCATGCTATTTATTGTTGTGATTTTCTTCTACTTCTGGCAAATTATACAAATTTTCTATTTACCTGGCTATATGAAATAGCCTTTAAGATACACGTAGATCCTCCACAGTGGAATGATTTAAAGAAAAATGCTAAGTAAATAAGAGCACAAGCGTCATGTGTTAGTGGCAAAAAGTGGTGGCAGTGATACAGGAAGAGAACTGCTGAAGTGTGAAAAGTATCGATACATGCCTCAAAAACCTGACTGTCCTGAGTTGAGAGGAGTGGGACAGACTGCCAGAGAGAAACCCTACGGAGACCACTGGGGAGGCTGATGCCAGATCAACCTTGCATTCAGAGAGGCACCTGGAGGTGTTGTTCTAGAAAAAGAACTACAGTAAAATTGAAACAGTCAGATCTGGTATCCAACATCTCACAGGGTGACCCCGGGCCAGTTACTTGAGATGATCCTCTGGCCTCTGCCTCCCAAGTTAGCTGGGACTACAGGTGCGTACCACCACACCTGTCTAAACTTTTCATCTTTTTGTAGAGACAGGGTGTCCCTATGTTGCCCATGCTGGTCTTGAACTCCAGGCCTCAGGCGATCCTCCTGCTTCGGCTTCCCAAAGCACCGGGATTACAAGTGGGAGCCACCGTGCCCAGCCCAGTCACTTCTGATCTTCACTTTTCTCATTATGACACGGTGGTAATAACACCCAGCCCCAAGGTAGCTAAGATAACATCATGGGAGCTGCCAGAACCTGTGGCCAGCACCTACCTTGGTTCTACAATCGGGTGGGTCACGTCACCCAACCCTAGCCCCTGCAAAAGACACCCTCAGGACAATATTTATTGCTTCTCTCTGAGAGAAGGCCTGATAGTGAGGAGGTTATAGCTAGAGTTCAGGTGCACCATCAACTCAGTCTCCACCACTTTCCCCAGCCCCATTTCCACCTCCAAAAACTCTGGGCAAGACCTCTGGGCTCTTGACCCAAGGCTGTTACTGACTGGAGGACCCTGTGCAAGTCTGAGCCAAGAGCCTCTCTGAGCCTTCACTTCCCCAGCTGTAAAATGTGGATGCCCTTGTCGAGTACTCAAACCGCATACATCCCCTATCTGTCTCTGGCTGGTGAACAGACGCTGTCAGCATTCAGCCATGCAGAACAAATACAAAGCAAATGAATCGACAAGTGAAACTACCAGTCTTGCAAAGTGTGGGATTTCATGAAGTTGGTGGAAGCAATGCAGGAGAAATGGAACAGCCGCTGCCCACAGAGAAAGGGAACGTCTGCAAGGGAAGTGACCCAGACCCGAAAAAAATCACTGGACTATCAAAGGATTCAGAGTGATCCTAGAGTTTGAGGAAGCTTTCAAATATTTTTGCAAAAATGACTCTTACTGCAAAAACCAAATCAGAAGGGAAGGATGCTACATACTCAACCACTACAAGAAAAAATAAGACTTCCACTGTTAACATTTGATTCATTCTTGGTTCATTCTAAGGCGTGCGTGGTTGCAATCATAATCTAAACTCTGTTAATCATGGGGTAAAACGAACTTATCTTTGTAATATTTAGCTTCTTTTTCTAGGTAAAATCCCAATCAGGCTGGGTTTTCCCCACTGTCTTGGTGAATTTCTGGTCTTCTTTTAAATAGATTCACCTCGGGGGCCTTCCAGGGTACAGGATGTGGTGGGGAGTCCTCCAGACGCCTGTCCACGCTTTCCAGCCAAGATCACAAACACCCTACCCCCAAAACATACGGGCGCCCCCGAAGGTGCATTACCGTAATTCCCCAGGGCCTGCTAACCACCATCGCAATGCGGAGAAAAGCCTCTGCCCGCCGGGCCGAGTGCTCCCCGCGCCCCCCACTTCTTAAGCGCGAGGCTGCTTTCGTCAACCCTTTTGTTGTACAGAAGGAGAAACTGAGGCCCGATGGGTACAGACTTGTTGGCCCACGTCCACTCGGTGGCAGAGCTGGCCCAGGGAAGAATGCAAGTAACAACAGTGAAGACTTGGTAAGCTCGCTCCACGTGCCGAGCTGGGACCCGCGGTGCCCGTTTCTGCGGGGGGCGCCTCGTACCTAGTTGGCGCTGAGGAAACCTGAACCAAGAAAGCCGAGCCCCCCCCACTCTCGGCCCCTCATGGGGGTGGGGCCTCCATCGGGGTCCGGCCAGCTCTGCAGCAGAGCCCACCGCCCCGGCCCGCACCCCTCGCCCCGAAGTTAGGCTGGAGCCCCCACCCCAGCAGCTCGGCGGGCCGGGGTCACAGCGGGGCCGCAGCCTGCGACCGCCTCGGGGGCCCCGCCGCTCCCCCTGCTTCCCCTCCGCCCAGGAGGGAGGAGGAGACTCCGCGGCCCTCCCTCGGCCCCTCCAGCGGCGGTCGCCGCTGCACTGTGCCCGCTCCACCCCACCGAGGCGGCTCGGACGGCCGGAGCCCGCAGGTCTCGGCCCGAGGTGAGTGGGGGCGGCAGGCGGGGGGCGGCACGCCACAGCGGCCCGGGAACTTGCTCCAGGCCGCGCGCCTTCCGCGGGAAAGAAGGGGTTAAGTTGTGGGGCGTGCTGTAGGAGCAGACACAGTCGGGGCGCCCGCGGCAACCCCCGAACTCAGAGCAGAACTTTCTAGACCCCTCCCCGGACTCCCTCACCCCCTGGAACCCCAGGTCTCCAGTGGGGAGGGGCCGCGGGGAGATGGGGGAGGGGAGGCGCCTCCGGAATGCCGCGGCCCGGGCCGGACGGGAGGGGGCGGCGGGCGGGGACGGAATTTGGAACTCTCCCGGGGGACCCAACGTGGTCGCCATGGCGAATGCGGGATGGACGGGCGGCGCTGGCCAATCAGAACACGGCGCTCTGCCCAGAGCCGCGGCGGCTGCCAATGGAAGCCTTGCGGTGGGGTGGGCGGGACCGCGCCGCACGGGCCGGGAACCCCCTCCACCCTCCGCCCGCCGCTAGCGGGAGCCGGGCGGCTAGCAGGGCCGGCAGCCTAGGAGGGGGCGACTAAGTGAGGAGTAAGACGACCCAGGGCTGGGGCTTCAGTTTCTCTACCTTAGATGGGGGTGGTGTCTACCTCCCCACCCCCGCTCTGCCAGGGCTTTTGTGGGGGTTGGATTGATTTGGGTTAGCGAAGTCTGCCCACCTGTTAGAGCGTTCAGGAATCTTTTTAGTGCCTCTCCCCATCCTGTAGGTAGGGAAACTGAGGCCCAGAGAGCAGAGACTTGCAGATATCACACAGCATATCAGTGACGGAGCTGGGACTAGTGGGATGTCTGCTGTACAAGAGTGACAAGTTCACGGTGTTGCCGACAGGGGTGGGGCTGGGGTCGGGGTCGGCTCCCATGAAGGTTCACGCCGCCATCCCAGCTATGAGTATCCACTTCACCTGGTGCCTGCTGACCCTATCGTGTAGGTGCTCTGTGTAGGTGGGCACTGTGCCCCTCATCGTGTAGGACCCACATCGTGTAGGTGGGCACTGTGCCCCTCAGGTGGTCAAGACCCAGGAGAGGAAGCATCCCATCTCCAGCTCCCTACCCTGGCCTTTCTGCTGGTCTACGGTGTGGACACAGACACGTAGCTGTACCTCTGGGCCTCAGTTGGTCCATCTGTAAAGAAAGGAGTTCAAATCAGTGATCCAGGCTGTCTCTGTGGCTCCTCAGTCTAAGATAGGGGTACCTGGGAACAGACCAGGGGTGCCTACCCCCGGGCTCAGGTCCAGCCTGGAGGCCTAGCCTCCATCCCTTCCCTCCCCGCCAGCCAGCTCCCCCAAGAGGTCCTACAGCTGGAGCCTGAGCAGCAGGTCACAGGGACAGGTGCCCGCAGTCTGTGGGCTGACCAGCCTTGGGCCCTGCACTTATTCAATCAGGCTGTCCTCTGTGGTTTCCCACTGGGCTCTGCTTTCTGTCCGCAGCCAGGCCTGTGGCCATGGGCTTGTCCCAGGGCCCTACCTGAAAGGCTCTGGGAGGATCTACAGGGTTTCAGACCTAGGGGAAGGGGTTGGGCCACTGGGCTCCCCATCCCTTCAGCTGGCCCCTGTCCAGGCCTTGGCATTACTCATTCTTCTCACTGGATATGGAGAGACCCATCCAAACATTCTGAGGACAAAACACAACATTGTTTCCCTCTGGGTCAATTAGGCTTCCCCAGGTAAAAGGTGGGACAGCTGACCTGGCCGTGAGACGACCTCTTACTCCGACCATGGCCACAGACAGGCTCAGATACCTACCTGTCTCAGAGCCTGGCCACAGACTGACTCCTGATCCTTAGGATGACTCAACCTTCCCAAACTCTGCATGGTCACAAGGGTACCCCTAAGAGTGGTACTACCTTCTTAGGGGTACCTTCCATCCATCACGCATCTGCTGTATGCTGGGCCCTGTGCTGATGCCCTCACTTGTGGACTTCAAAGTGAAGCCTTTGCTGTAGAACAGGGAGGTGCCTGGTGCTTTGGGAGCATACTCTGTGCAGAGGTTAGAGAAGGCGTCCCAGGGGAGGGGACGCTGGAGGTGGGTTTTGAAGGATGTGTAGGAGTTTGCTGATGAAGGAAGGAGAGATATTCCAGACAAGTCCACAAGCAACAGCAACCACTGGTCACTTTCTGTGGGTAGGGCTGATGAGGGCCTAGCCTGGAGCAAGTGTCAGACCAAAATATTCCTGTTTCTGTCCTGGAGTGAGCTACCAGTGAGCACAGCTGTGGGGCTGGGGTTCAGGAGCCCTGGTTTCTACTCAGCTCTGCTGCCCAGCTAAGGGGATGTAAGGTCATAATTCAGTCTTCTGCTCTCCAGCCCACCAGCTAGCATTAATCAGTTAGTATCTGTGGGGCCTGTCCTAGAAGCTCTAAGTGGCACGAGTGTCCCATCTGGATGGGGGAAGCCTGTGCTACCAGGAGACAGCAGCTTGCCAGGCCTGGCTGTGGGAGGTTGTAGGGCTGTGCTCCCCAGGTTGGGGGGTGGTTGGGGAGATCAAGGCATTTCCTGGAGTTGGTGGCAGCTGAATTTGCAGATGGGTGGGGGTTCTGGAGTCTGGGACAGGGGCATTTGGAATACAAACCCAGAGACTTAAAGCAGTAACAGACCCGTCTCGCTGTTGGGAGGCAGGACAAGAGAGGGTGGGATAGGAAAGGCTCCCTGTGGCCTGTGGTGGCTGGTCCCACCGTGACCTGCCCCTTGGTGGGGCAGTGATGCCAAGGGAACAGGAGGCCCCACCCCACACACATACACACCTCATGGGAAGAGGGCACTGAGCCTGCTGGAAGGGGTGGGCGGGGCAGCTGGGGCATCTCCATGACTGTGGGCCATGCTCTGCGCTGCTGCTGCCCCTCAGTGAGTGTGTGCGTTACTGAGGCTGTGTGTGTGTGAGTGTGCACGTGTTACTGGGGCTGCATGTGAGTGTGTGTATTACCGGGGCTATGTGTGTGTGAGCGTGCAGGTTACTGGGGCTGTGTGTGAGTGCGGGTCCCTGGGGCCATGTGTGAGTGTGAGCGTTACTGGGACTGTGTGTGAATGCGGGTCCCCAGGGCTGTGTGTGAATGTGTGCATTACTGGGGCTGTATGTGAGTGTGTGTCCCCAGGGCTGTGCTGTATGAGTGGGGAGGGATAGGGGGAGGTGTTGCTAGGCAGGGTCTGGCTGCCCTTGGGTCTATGTGGAAGTGCAGGATTCCTGGTATGCTGGGGGCGGGGTGGGCTTCTCCAGAAAACTCCTGAGGACCCTGACCCCACCCCTTCCCACACACCCGCTCCAGGGGACCCTGGGCCTGAAGTACAAAGGTGGGAGTGCTGTTGCAAAACTTCCCTGCCCTGCTGTGCCCCTTTCTCCTCCTTCCTCCTAGGAGGGGCCTGGCCAGGACGCTGGGAAGGAGAACGAGCTGAGTCTGGATCCCCCATCTCTGCCTTTAGCATGGGTGCCTGGAAGCTATTAGGGGCCTGGGTGGTGCCTGCCCTGGCCCTGTGCAACAGGCTTGGATTCCTGGAAGGAGCCGGTGGCCCTCTCCGGGCCAAGCCCTGTGCCAGGCCTGGCAGCTCCCAGAGGCAGGGAGGATGTGGCAATGACCCCCTCCCTGCCAGGCTCCTAGTTCAGGGGCTGCGGGAAGGGCCCAGCCGACAGGGCCCAGGCCCCCATACCCAGCACAGCTGCTGGCTGGCACTCGGGTTTCCTGCCTCCTCCTCCTCCTCCTCCTCCCTTCCCCCGCAGGCTCTCACATTGTTTTTCTTTTCCAAGAGCTTCTCTATGTGGAGCTAGGCCAGGAAAATGAGGAGTGTGTGTGTCTGCGTGTGTGTGTGTGTGTGTGTGTGTGTGTGTGTGTGTATCTACTTCTCCTGGGGATGAGCATGTCTCCTTGCATGTCCTTGTACCTGTGTGTCAGTGTGCTGGCATGTGTGTGTCTTCAGGTGTGTCTGTGTCTACAGGCGAATGTCTCTCCATGTACCCGTGTAGTTGTGTGTGCCTGTCGGTCCATCTGAGCATATGTGTATCTGCCCCTGGGTGTTCGCATCTGTGCATGGGATTGCATGTCTGTGTGTGCACAGATGTTTGTGAACACACACGGGCATCAAGGCCAGCGAGCTCACTGCACAGGTGGAGAGACTGAGTCACAGAGGCACAGGCTGCTAGGGATCTCCCGGGGTGTCAGTGCCTGGATCTGTATGGCTGTATCTGGGTGTGTGACACAGATGTTATCAGGGTCAGGATGTACACGTTGTGTTTATGGAACTGTGGGTAGTAAGAAAGCAACGCGAAATACTCAAATACCCCAAACGATTAAAATGCAAATTCTCAGCTCCACACCTACCAAACATGACTCTCTTGGGTATGGGGCCAAGTGTCCAGGTGAATCTGAAGGATGCCCTGATGAAGAAGCAGTGGTCTCTCTCACACGTCCTCCCTTCTACACATGGGGAAACTGAAGCCCAGAAAGGGACGGTGGCTTACATGAGGTTGGTGTCAGAGCTGGGCCTAGACCTCATGCATGGTAAAGGCAGACAGACAATAAACGAACAGCAAATGGCCTAGAGAAATGCAGTGGGGTCGCTGAGCAGCACGGAGGAACCTTGACAAAAGGTCATGAATTTTTAAAAATACTGCTCCACGTGGTGGTGTAAACCTCCAATGCCCGGCTCCACAGTTGAAGGTAAGAGCGGGCAAAGCAGTGGAGGGAACAGGGTTGGCATTTGCCAGGACAGTCCACAACAGGAGGGGCCTAGGGCATGGAAGGTGCTGGCAAGGGAGAGATTAGGAGCACCGAAGGTGAGCTGGGAAGGAGAGGGACATGGGGGGTGGGCAGTGCAGTGGTGGGATCAGTGGCTTGTGGCTCCTTGCTGGGATTGGAGAGTATCTGGAGTTGAGTCCTAGAGGGAGTAACCTTAGAATTGAGGCTAGGGAGGAATCAGTATTGGTAATGACACAAGGGGTGGCCACCAGAGTGGTCAGGTTCTTGTAAGCAACTCTGGCTGTTGCTTTTGGGAACGGATTTGAAGGAGGCAAAAGTGCATGATGGGCAGGGAGGTGGGTGTGGGTACTGTTGCCCAGGTGAGTGAAGGTGGTGTGGACCCTGACAGGTTAGTGACTGTGGACAAAGAAGGTGGATGGAAGGTAGATGCAAGGCAGACAGACTGACAAGGTTTGGTGGTGGGTGGGGGAGGAGAGAAGGCAGATTTCAGGGGCCCCCACAGCTGGAAGGAGTGAGGAAGTGCCTTTTCCCGGAGGAGCACCCAGAAGGAGCTGGTCATGGGGGGAATGGAGGCAGCAAGTTCCATTTTGACCAAGGCGAGCCTGAGTCGTCTATCAGGCATCTGGATGGAGGTATGGCAGGCTCTGAGGGCAACCTGGGCTGGAGAGAGACTTGGGGTTGAGGGTTGAGGACATAGCAAGATGGCTCGGGCAGGGATAGCGTGAGACGAGAAGGGGGCCCAGGGCTGGATGACAGCAGCACTCGAGGGTTAAGCCCAGGGGGTCCACCTGGGAGGCTGACGAGCAGCTAGAGAGGAGGGGAAACCTGGAGAGGAAGACGTGGAAGAAGTGAGGCAGGGAAGCAGGTGGCATGGTAGGTCCACAGGGGACACCGTCACAGGGGCCTGGAAACCAGCCTGCCATAGGTGGCTGGGTGGCAGAGCACCAAGGAGGTAGATGGAGTGGAGAGAGTAAGTGTGGACCACTTTGGAAGGGCCTTAAAAGGAAGGAGCCAGGGGAGGGGAGAAGAAGGTGCCAGGAGACACTTCAGCAGGGGTAAGGCCCCTGGAGAGGATGTCACTGGCTAGGGTGGGACAGGCAGGAGGGGGCCTTCGGCTCAAGGAGAACCCCTCTGTCCTCTTAGGGGCAGAGAGGAGGGGGCTGTGGGGCTTGACAGCTTCCTTTTTCACTGCAAACCCTGACATTAGATCATCTGCCAAGAATGAGGGGGGTTAGAGATTGGAAGAGGGTGGAGAGGGGACACAGAAGGCTGCCAGGCAGCCTTGGGGACAGCCAGTGCTGAGAGTCCCACCGACAGTGCACTGATCACTCAGAAAGGGTGAGTCTTAGGGGCAGGCGTGAAGATCTGTGGACCAGGGCTCTCTGCCTAATGGGGATGGAAAGGTGTGATGTCCCAAAGGGCTATTGGTGGGTGGCAGTCAGCAGAGGCCACAATGGAGGGAGACTGGGTCAGACTGGGGACAGAGAAGGACATGCCTCTCATTTATTTTAAGGCAGAGGCATGGCCCATAAATGGCAGAGCCCATTGCTGGGCGATGGGGAGGCTGAAGTGAGACACAGAGAACAAGAGAGATGTTTGCAGTGAGTCAGGGTGTCAGGGAGGGGTGGTTTCGGCAGAGAAGGGGAGGGAGCATCCTGCTGTACGCTCAGAAGCCCCTGCCATCTGAGGACTGGTTTATTTCCATCATCATCCCCAGCGCGTGCATTCATTCAGCAAATCCTTACTAGAGTTTGCATTTGGACTCATAGATACCATAAATGGAGGTAATCATTTTCCTCACCTCCACTCTTTAAGGAATAAATGAGATCGTTCACCTGAAGCCCTGGGCATAATGCCTGGCTTGTGGCCTGCCCTCCACAAATATCATTGTCATCATGTGTTGGGACTAAAACAGTGGCCACGACCCAGTCCCGGACCACAGCAAACTCTCACAGCCTTGGGTTAAGGGTACAGAGCAGACACATAAAGGACAGGGTAAGTTAGTGCAGTGATGGAGACACATAAGGGGCTGACAGACCTGGCCGGAGGTGCTCCAGGAGGGCTTCCAGGAGGAGGTGATATCTCAGAAGAATTTTAAAGATAAGAAGTTAGCCCAGTGCAGGAAGAGGCAGGGAGCGGACTCCTGGCACCAGCCCAGTGCCCCTGCGTGGGTCCCGTGCGGAAGTGGGACAGTAGTATAGTATAAGCCATCGAGATGGGACCTGGATGATAAAGAACAGATCAAAGTTTCAGATCAGCGCCGCTAGGTGAAGGGATTGGAATGGGAGTCTGGAGGCCACTGAGGAGGCTTTTGCGGGCCCTTGCTCCACCAATCCTGCCTCACTGGGACGCTCCTGGAACAGAACTCACTCCTCCCACCTTGGCCGTTCTGTTCTCTCCGCCTGGCCCTTAGCGCAGCTGATCTTCCAGACTGACGGTGGTCAGTCCAATAACGGTTGCGTTCTCCCGCAGGTCCGAGGAGGCGTCCTCCGCCCTGTGGCCTGGAGAGAAGCGGGGCGCGGCGCCATCATGCACAGTGGTATCGCGTCCGCCGCGCGTCCCCGGAGCCGCCCCTGAGCCCGGCCGCTAGTTCGAGCCCAGGGCCCACCCGGCCGCACCATGAGCCACGGGCCCAGCCCCCGGCTGGCCGAATCCCCGCAGCTGTCCAAGGGTAGCCTCCTGACCATCCTGGGCAGCCCGTCGCCGGAGCGCATGGGGCCTGCCGACTCCCTGCCGCCCACGCCGCCCAGCGGCACGCCCTCGCCCGGGCCGCCCCCCGCGCTGCCCCTGCCCCCCGCGCCCGCGCTGCTGGCCGACGGCGACTGGGAGAGCCGCGAGGAGCTGCGGCTGCGGGAGCTGGAGGAGGCGCGGGCGCGGGCGGCGCAGATGGAAAAGACCATGCGCTGGTGGTCGGACTGCACTGCCAATTGGCGCGAGAAGTGGAGCAAGGTGCGCGCTGAGCGCAACCGCGCGCGCGAGGAGGTGCGCCAGCTGCGCCAGCGCCTGGACGCGCTCACCAAAGAGCTGGCGGGCGCACGGCGCGAGCGCCAGGAGGCACAGGGCGAGTGCGAGGCACGGGGCCGCGAGCTGGCGCGGCTGAGGGGCGCCCGGGGCGTAGCCGACCAGATGCGCGAAGGCCCCGAGCCGGAGGCGGAGCGCGAGCCAGTGCGTGACGTCGGATCCGAGAGGCCTCCGAGCAGCCAGGTGCGCGGCGCGGGCGCGGCGTTCGCGCCCCAGTCTCGAAGTGGGCGGGGCCGATTGGCCTGAGCTGCTGGGCTCAGAAACAAGCTAGTAAAGGCCTGGCCTCCTGGAGGTTTCACTTCTCCAGGTCGGGTTCTACTCTTGTGGGACCTCACATCATCTTCCTTCCCGAGACCTCAGGGTGGAGAATCCCAAGTTCTGTGATACCTCCACTCCCACACCTGATAAGTCAACAGAACCAAGGAATCATCTCCTTTGAGCAGGAGAGGGATCCAGCAGCTTGCATGGAAGTTAGCTGATTCGTAGCAGAGCTGAATCCATTGATTCAATCAGAGCTGAGCGGTGGGGGAAATCAGGGCACTGGGATCACAGAGGAGGTCCCTGACGCAGGCTTCACAGAAGCTTTCCTGGAAGAGGGCACATTCAAGCTGAGACTAGAATGATAAGTAGGAATTAGCTGTGAAAAGTGCCAGGAGGGCAGGACGACGTGACTCGTACCTGGAGTACCAGCTACTTGGGAGGCTGTGACTGTGACAGGAGGATCCCTTGAACCCAGGAGGTCGAGGTTGCAGTGAAATATGATTATACTGCTGCAGTGGGCACCCTCTCCTGAGCCAGCAAGCCTGTTACCAGAAAACCACCTAGGGGCAGGGTCCAAGCTCAGCTCCCCAGCTCTGTCCCTGGAAAGGCCAACTCTTCCAGATAAGACTGCCCCCTCCTCTCTCCTGCCCAGCCCCCTCCACCCCATAGGCTAGCTCGGGCACTGCTGCCTCCTGTGGCTGAAGTCCCCTCTTCCCTGGGGCGACCTGGTGTTTGAGGTGGTGTTCACTGTGCACAATGCGTCCTGTCCTGTCCTTGTTCCAGTTGTCCGTCACAGGCCAGAGGGCTGTGGGCAGTCGCAGGAGCCCTAGGCTTGCAGTCTGAGTTTGTCCTCCAGCCCAGCCTCTTCATGCTGTGGCCCAGAACAAGTCCTGTCTCTCCCTGTTCCCCATTCGTAAAACGGGGCTTTGAACCAGTTGCCACCCCCACCTGGATAATCTGAGATACAGGAGAGTAGCTCTCACTCCTCAGGGAGTCCTCAGGGCCACCACTCCAGTCCAGCTAGAGAAACCGAGGGCCGGGCCAGGAAGAGGTTGGCCTGGACTCATCTGGAAAGGCTGTGGGAGAAGCTGGAACAGGGGCTGTGGTCCTTGTGGGTTTGTGTCAGAGACAGGGGATGGCAGGGGCAGAGAAGAAGGGGAGGATGGCAAGGAGGAAGGGGTCTCGGCCCTGGGTTCGTGATTTCTCACTGCTTCCTGTCTGAGAGCTGGCTCTCCTCACAGGCACTGCTTGCCCATGTCACCAGTCTCCCCATGCCTTACTGTTTGCCCCTAAAAAAACAGGATCTTAGAGCTGGAATTCCTTTGGAAGGAATCTAGGCTTAAGCCATTACAGGAATTCCTGCTTCACCATTTGTTCCCATCAGTGCCCCACTGTAGGTTTGCATACTTCCAGTGACAGGGAGCTCACCACCTCTCCTGGGGAATCTTCTAGGATACAGGGAACCATGGCGGCTGACACTGCAGCTCCAGGAGGTGAAGGGGGAGGCCCAGAGCAGGGCGTGTCTTCCTTCTCCAGAGCTGGAGAGGCAGGCAGCAGAAGAGGAAACTGAGGCCCAAAGACACTGTGTGACTTGCCCAAGATTACCCATCAAGCTGATCTCAGACCCAGGGCCTGGCTTGGCGGCCACTGCTCCAGCCTCCACCTTGGTCCCCGCAGGAACTGGAGCTGGTGGAGAGCCTGCTGAAGAGCATGCCGGAGGAGTCTGAGGACTGCTGGGAGGCACGCAGCGTGGGGGCCGGGGGCCCGCGGGGCAGCTCAGGCCGCCAGGAGCGGAGCCGGCTGCCCTGGGAGGACACAGCTACCATGGAGGAGGAGGCCTCCAAGTTGACTGCCCTGCGGCTACGACTGGATGAGTCCCAGAAGGTGCTGCTCAAGGAGCGAGAGTGAGTCGTGGGAGGCAGGAGGGGGCAGGGGCAGGGCCAGGTGAGCACCCTCAGAATGACAGAACTTTAGACTCACGAAGATGACAGGTAGTGTTTAGGCTGTGTCTTGGAACTGTAGAGCAGTGGTGTTCCACTCGAGAACTCAATGCAAGTTTTTATTTCTTCATTCAAATAATACGTTACTGGGCACCTGTTCTGGACCAGGCACTGTGCTCAGCCCTGAGGATACAGCCCTAAATAAGACAGAAGCCCTTGCCTTCCTGAAACTTACTTTCTAGCTGGGGGAGAGGGCTGTGGGCAGGGTAAAAGCAGGAATGGAGACAGGGAAGTTGGTAGGTTGCAGCTGGGACCTTGGTTTTGTACCTGTGAGTTTGAGATGGCAGGGAGGCAGCTGGGGAAGTGAATGAGTCTGGAGTTCATGAGACGGTCCTGTGCTGGAGGTAAAAATGCAAGAGTCACCAGTGAAGAGATGATATTGAAAGCCATGAGCTGGGCCGGGTGCGGTGGCTCACGCCTGTAATCCCAGCACTTTGGGAGGCTGAAGTGGGCAGATCACTTGAGGTCAGGAGTTTGAGACCCACCTGACCAACATGGTGAAACCCCATCTCTACTAAAAATGCAAAAGTTAGCCAGGCATGGTGGCAGGTACCTGTAATACCAGCTACTCAGGAGGCTGAGGCAGAAGAATTGCTTGAAGCCGGGAGGTAGAGGTTGCAGTGAGCCAGAATTGTGCCACCGCACTCCAGCCTGGGCGACAGAGCAAGATTCTGTATATTAAAAAAAACAAACAAAAAAAACCCATGAGCCTGGCCAAGGGCCAAGGAGTGAGTATGGATAGGGAAGAGGTCAGAGGATCCAGCCCTGAAATGCCAAGTTTAGAGGTCTGTTAGAGGAAAGGGAAACAGCAGAGGACACAAGAGAAGGAAGCCGGGCTGGGGAAGGGGAACCGCAAGAAACAGTTTCCCGGAGGACAGAGTGATCAGTAAGAACAGGGCTGAGCCCTGACCGTTGGATTTAGAATGTGGAGGTAACCAGTGACCTTGATCAGGGCAGTTTAGAGGGCATGAGCTTGATGATAATGAATATTCTGCAGTTTTTCTGTCCAGAAATTAAATACATCAGTAGCATAACCTATCTACATACCCCTTTTTAAAAAAAACAATATAATGGCCAGATGCAGTGACTCATGCCTGTAATCTTAGCACTTTGGGATTCCAAGGCAGGAGAATTGCTTGAGACCAGCCTGGGCCACACAGCAAGACCCTATCTCTACAAAAAAAGACAGAGCCTTACTCTGTCGCCCAGGCTGGAGTACAGTAGCACAGTCTCGGCTCACTGGAACCTCTGCCTCCCATGTTCAAGTGATTCTCTTGCCTCAGCCTCCTGAGTAACTGGGATTACAGGCATGTGCCACCAGACCTGGCTAAATTTTGTATTTTTAGTAGAGACAGAGTTTTAGCATGTTGGCCAGGCTGGTCTCGAACTCCTGACCTCAGGTAATCCACCCACCTCAGCTTCCCATAGTGCTGGGAATACAGGCATGAGCCTTTGCGCCCAGCCTACAAAAAAAAAAAATAGCTGGGAATAGTGCTGTGCCACTGTAGTCCCAGCTACTTGGAAGGCTGAGGCGGGAGGATGGCTCGAGCCCAGGAGATCGAGGCTGAGGGAGCTATGATTGTATGATTGCACCAGTACCCTCCAGCCTAGGTGACAGAGAGAGACACTGTCTCAAAAAAAAAAATCAGTATAATGCCTCTGTGAAGATGTAGGCAGAGATCAGGATGATGCTTCTGTGGACATCGTTGCATCTTTGGTCAAGGAATACCAAAGATGGCCAGCAAACTGCCAGAAGCTGGGGGAGACGCATGGAACAGATTCTTTCTCGCAGCCCTCAGAGAACCAGCCCTGCCAACAACTAGATCTTGGACTTCTAGCCTCTAGAAATATGAGAGAATAAATTTTGACTGTTTAAGCCAAACAAGCAAAAAAATCAACCTAGTGCACTAACTGAAATATAAAGTAGAAGTGAAAGTAACTTTTTTTTTTTTTTGGAGACAGAGTCTCACTCTGTTGCCCAGGCTGGAGTACGGTGGCGCTATCTCGGCTCACTACAATCTCTGTCTCCCTGGTTCAAGCAATTCTCATGCGTCAGCCTCCTGAGTAGCTAGGACTATAGGCACACACCACCACGCCCAGCTAATTTTTTGTATTTTTAGTAGAGTCAGGGTTTCACCTTGTTGCCCAGGCTGCTCTTGAACTCCTGAGCTCAGGCAATCCACC